TAGGTTCTCCTCATGCATGTTCTCTGGTTGGTGTATCTGTCTCTGAGCATCCCCTGGGCCCAGATTTTTTGGCTCTCTTGGTCTTCCCCTGGAACTTTTGTTCACTCTGCATCCTTCTATTCCCTGCTCTTTCCTAAGACTCTGTGAACTCTACTCAAAGTTTTCTGTATTTGTATCTGTTTTGATCCCCTTCTGGGTGGAGTCTTTCAGAGAACATCTATGGTTGGCTGTCATTCTGTTTCCTCTCTTCAGACTCTTCCATGGTCTATTTGATTTGATCTTCTGAATGAGAATTAAGCATCTTCCCTAGTGTCCTCCTTGTTATTTAGCTTGATATATGGCTAATATCCACTTATATGTGAATATATTTCATGTCTCTCTTTCTGGGTCAGGGTTACCTCCTTCAGGATGACGTTTTCTAATTCCATCTAATTGCCCACCAATTTCATGATTTCTTGTTGTTAAAAGCCGAGTAATATTCCACTTAGTAAATGTATTACAATTTCTGTATCCATTCTTCGGTAGAGGGACATCTATGTTGTTTACAGATTCTGGTTATTATGAATAAACTGTTATGAACATGGTTGAACAAATGTCCTTGTTGTATGGTGGAGCATCTTTTGGGTATACACCTAGGAGAGGTATAGCTGATCTTGAGGAAGTGCTATTCCTAATTGTCTGAGAAAGCTCCAGATTGATTTCCAAAGTGGTTGTACAAGATTTCACTCCCACCAGCAGTGGAGAAGTGTTCTCCTTTCTCCACCTCCTCACCAGCATGTGCTGTCACCTAAGTGTTTGAATTTAGTCATTCTATTGTATTTAAATTGGAATCTCAGAGTCATTTTGATTTGAGTTTCCCCAATGACTAAGGATGTTGAGCCTTTCTTTAACTGTTTCTCTGCTGTTTGAAATTCCTCTGTTAAGAGTTCTGTTTACTGCTGTACCTCATTTTAATTAGATTATTTCATTTGCTGGAGCTTAATTTCTTGAGTTATTCATATATATTGGATATTAACCCCCTATTGAATGAAGGATTGGTGAAGATCTTTTTCCTGTCTTTAGGCTGCCATTTTGTTCTGTTGACAATGTCCTTTGCTTTACAGAGTTTTATTTCTTTTTTTTTTTTTTCAGTTTCCTGAGATCCCATTTTGATTGTTGAACTTAGAGTCTGTGCTGTTGGTGTTCTGTTCAAAAAGTTGTTACCCGTGCCAATGAGATCAAGGCTCTTCTACGATTTTACTTCTAATAGATTTAGGATGTCTGCTTTTATGTTGAGATATGTTGATCTAGTTCGACTTTAGTGCAGGGTGTAAAGTTTGGATCTATTTGCATTTTTCTACATGTGGACATCCAGTTTGACCAGCACCATCTCTTGAAGATGTTATTTTTTTTTCCAATTGTATGGTTTTGGCTTATTTGTCAAAAAACAAGTGTCCATAGGTGTGTTATTTTATTTCTGGGTCTTCAATTTGATTCCATTGATCCACCGGTCTGTTTCTATGCCAGTACCATGCAGCTTTTACTACAGTTGATCTATAGTACAACTTGAGATCAAGGGTGGGGATACTTCCTGAAGATCTTTTTTCTTACAGAACTGGTTTAGCTATTCAGGTTTTTGTTTGTTTGTTTGTTTGTTTGTTTTCCATATGACATTGATATTTGTTCTTTCAAGGTCTGCAAAGAGTATGTTGGTATTTTGATGGGTTTTGCATCTCCTTATATTCAGAAAGAGAATTTGTTAAAATCATGTGTAAAGTTTTGGAGAGACCAGGGAAAAAAGGCGTATACCTAAACGTAGTAAAGGCAATATATGGCAAGCCTATAGCCAATATCAGACTAAATGGAGATGAATTTAAATCAGTTCCACCGAAATTGGGAACATGTAAAGTCTGCCCGATCTCCCCATGTCCTCAGTATAATACTTGAAGTGCTAACAAGAGCAACAAGACAACTAACTGAGATAAAGGGGGTACAAATTAAAAAGGACAAGTCAAAGTATCACTATTCGCAGATGATATTGAAAGAAACAAGTTAACTTTACAGGTTTCTTTATAAATTTTATACCACGTAATACACTAAGTTCCTCCAGTACTTTTCCAGAAAGCAGGAGGAGAAGTGGGTGAATTGAGACAAGACCCACCCTGTTGAAAAGGAATGCCAAAGGTCTCCACCTGCTGTGGAGGCGTGTCCAAATCTGCAGTACCAGATAACGTTGCCTGGCAACCAGGGGTAGGTGCTGGACTGACTGGTCTTGGCCTCTAAAATAGACCAATCATTTTACAAGCCAACTACCCAACCTAAACCAGTGTTGCCAAGCTTGCAACCTCCGCGAATCCCAGGCCCTTTCCTCTAAAAACCCGGGGCTTCTGTCTCTCTCTGCTGTTCCTCACTGGGCTGGGGGCACCCACATTGTGTGATAGCTTGAATAAACCACTTGCAAATGCATCAAGCCAGTCTCCTGAGTTCTCCTCATCTGTCTCCTGGAAATTAGGCTCCCCCTGGGCCTAACAATATGTTAGTATACACAGGTAACCCCCCAAATTCTTCCAGAGAACTCCTACAGCTGATAATCACTTTCAGAAATGTGGTGGGATACAAACTTAACTCAAAATAATCAGTAGCCCTTCCGTATGCAAGCCAGCCAAAAAAAAAAAAAAAAAAAAAAAAAAAAAAAAAAAAAAAAAAAAAAA